TTTAGAATCTAGGGTAATGCATGAGTAATTTGACTTGATCCTCAAAGAATGAGCCATAAAAAGAAAAACTGATAAATTAGACAATCAAAATTGCAAACTTTTGCTCTATGAAAGACCCTGTTAAGATGAAAAGATAAGTTGCAGAGTGGGAGAAATATTTGCAAACCATATATCTGACTGGTATCTAACATGTGTAAAGAATTCTCAAAACTCATCAGAGCCCTTGTTCTGGAGCCAGGTATTGCAGACTTTCTCATCATGAATCCTGTGCGAGCCTCTGACCCACCACTGGTGTCCCGGTTTCTCGGCTGCTGTTACATCATTCTTGAATGAGTCTTCAGACAGAGAAACAGTAGTAAAGGAGCTGTACTGGGAGAACTACACACAAATAGCTGCAGGTGTATGTGGACCTTATTTAGACATCAAGATTCTGAAACTTGGACCTGAGCCTGATGCTGCAATATATGAAACATTTTGGGATCTTAGGAGGAAGTGAGTGTTTTGCATGTAAAAAAAAGTGTAAATACTTTGCGGCAAGAAGGTGAACTATATTTGCAGGTTCTTTGACATTCATTAGTTTAAGAAGTGGAATTAGTGTTCATACTCCTTGAACCTGGACAGAACATTGTGACTACCTTGTAAAACAGAATGTAGTACAAAGCACATTGTGTAACCTCAGATAAATTTTGTGTGATTTCTGCCAGTCTTTTTTGGAACACTTCTGGAGGACCATTAGCCACCATGGAAAAAAAAAAAATGCTACCGAGAAGCCACCATGTGAAGATATAAGGTGGAAAAACCATATAAACCACTTACAGGAGAAGAATTTCCCAAGCAGCTGCCATCTGTTCTGACACTAGCTGGTTCAGTTTTTCCAAACCAGGTACCAGCTATGCAAGTGATAAAGTCTTCAAGAGAACCCCATTCCTGCCGCCAGACTGCTACTGCATGGGAGACCCACGTCAGGCGAGAACTGACCAGTTGAGCCCTCTCAAGTGCTGAATTCAAGAACTAGATTAATGATGCTGTTGTTTTAAGCTACTCTTTTGGGCTATTACACAGTGATAGATAATATATGAACTATGAAATATTTAGAGCATTTTTCTTTAGAAAAAGATTTGAAAAGTAAACCAATTACAGAGTTTATTTGACTGTTATGGTTTTAGATCAGGATTCCTCAAAAAGACACAATTGATATTCAGGACAAGATAATTTTTGTTTTGGGGGGCTTCTCTGTGTATTGTTGCATGTTTAGCAGCATCCTTGTTCTGTTTTCACTAAATGCCAATGGCAGGTAATTCCCCTATCTGTGACTACCAAAAATGTGTCTAGATATCTCCAAATGTCCCTGGAATTAAATTCACTCCTGGTTGAGAATTCTGGTTTAGATAAATTTAATGAAAGAACAATAGGAGAATAAAAAATTCCTGGAAATAAAATGAGTATAAAACTTTATAACCTAAATATCCAAGAAATTATATCAAGTTCCCTAATAACAAACCATGAAGTAGAGACACTACTGAAATAAGCATATTCTAAAATTAGATCTTCTCTTTGTGAAATCATCAAAATGTCCATGCTACCCATACACTAGTAAATACATAGAACTAGAGTTCCATTAAGTTATGGGATTATTGAGGTTCGCCTTGACTAATTGTTTCCTTTTGGCACTTTTGTTTCTCTTATTTCATGCTTAAGCTGATTTTTCACGTTATTTTCTATCGTTTCAATAAAAACACTTCTATAAATTAAAAAAAAAAAACTCATCAGTAAAACACACACAAATAGACCCATTAGAAATAAGGAGTTTAATTGAGAAGGATATAGGTGGCAAACAAGCACATGAGATACTCAATATCATTGGCCATCAGAGAAATGCAAATTAAAGCCACAGTGAGAAAACTGCTTCTCAAAATGGCTAAAATAAAAAATAGTGACAACACCAATACTACTCATGGGGTCCTTTCCTGAAAAACACACTGTGTCCTGCGTTGGGGCCTATGGGCACAGCAGGAGGGCCTTGTACAGGGTGGGTGTGAGTGAGTCCATATGAGATAAGAGGTTTTTGAGGCAGCAAAGACCAGTGTGAGGAGTACCTGTGGTGGGGCTAGCTGGGCATCGAGGTGATCCCCCACCAGGGTGCACTGGAAAGCACGTGTAAGGTTGAGGACTAAGATCAAAAGCGGGGTGGTGTATTTTCTTCTCCTACACGAATCCATAACTAAAGATTGTTCTCGGTGTTTGATTTTGCATCTCACTTTCTTCTTCACCATATCAGATATTTGCAAACAAATATTTTTAAAGTGGATTCAGTGGGCCTGGAGGATTGGCTGGCCATTGGGAGTGGAGGAGAGGTGGTAGTGACTGAGGGTAGGTCAGTGGTTCCCAGAAGTGCTATCCCTTCTCCTGTGACTCTGAAAACGATGCTTTACCTTTGAGTTCCTCCACGCAGATGTCTCCTTTAGTTAGGGGCAAGGAAAAGACAGATTTCATTCTTTCCTGTGGGAGCTCAGAGTCATCTCTGGGTCTGTATAATCATCCCCCATTAGGAAGAGGTCAGGTGGATGACAGGACAGTAGGTCCAGCAAAAATCCAGGGATCGTTCCCATCAGAATGTGAGGAGGAAGTTGGTGAAGCCATGAGGCATCAGGCACTTGAGGTTATGAGTGGCCTTGGCGAAGGCTCTCGACTGTCCTCCCTCACTGCCCTCTCGCCCCTGTTTTTCGGTGGCCTGTGCAGGTGTATGCCCATGCAGGGGCCACACTGGAGGGGAAGATGTACGTTACTTGTGGCCGCAGAGGAGAGGACTACCTAAAGGAGACGCACTGCTATGAGCCGGACAGCAACACCTGGCATGCTCTGGCTGACGGACCCGTGCGGCGGGCCTGGCACGGCATGGCCACCCTCCTAGACAAGCTGTATGTGATCGGGGGCAGCAACAACGATGCTGGCTACAGGAGAGATGTGCACCAGGTGAGTGGGGCCAGGCTGCTTACGTACAATAACATTCCTGTCCCTTTCAGTTCTTACTGATGAAAAATTAATTGCAAAGTGTAGCCTTTTAAAAATTTTATTTTTTAGAACAGTTTTAGATTCACAGCCAAATTGAACAAAAAGTACAGAGATTTCCTCTATACCCCCATCTCTACACATGCACAACCTCCCCCACTGTCAGTATCCCAGAGAGAAACATTTGCTAGAACTGATGAACCTGCAGTGACACACCATAATCTCCCAGAGTCCCTCATTTACCTTAGGGTTCACTCCTGGTGGTGTACAGCCTGTGGGTTTGGACAAATGTATAATGACATCTTTCCACCATTGTCCTATCATACAGAATAGTTTCACTTATTTTGATTATTAAAAACTTTAATGATAAAGTTAATATAACCACATTGCAGAACCTTCAAATAAGGGAGAAAGGTGAGTAAAAACACTCATAATCCAGCTCTGTGCCTGTGTTTAGTCCTTTCTACCTATGTATGGTTTCCACTTAATTGTAGTTAAAGAGCATCTCATTTTACTTCTAGCTGAAGTTCATCGTAGGTGTTTTCCAGTTAATGTTTGATTCCCATAGGCATCCCCAACCCCCACCTTGGTGGCTGTGCGGAATTCTGTCAGACTGGTGTGTCATTTGGATTGGTCTAAGTTTTAACTATTCCAAATAACATAATAAGTAATATTTGCTTTATAGAACCTTTCAGTTATTTTGGATTATTTCCTTAGACTATAGCAGTGGTTTTCAGAGATGGTCCTTGGACCAACAGCATTTGAATCACATTAGAACTCATTAGAAATGCAGATTCTCAGGGCCCCACCCCAGACCCACCAAATTAGCTCTGGGGATGGGACTCAGCAATCTGTATTTTAACAGGTCCCTCAGTGGTGTGACCCACTAGGCTCTAGTGCGTTAGTATTCTCTTGCTGCCGTGACAAATTACCGCAGATTTAACAACTTGAAACAACATAAGTGTATTATAGTTCTGTAGTTCCTAAGTCCAGCTTGGGTCTCACCAGGCTAACGTCCAGGTGTCAGTCAGGGCATCTCTCCTTTATAGAGGCCCTAGGGTAGAATCCATGCCCTTGCTCACTCAGGGTATTGGCAGAATTCAGTTCTTTGTTGTTATAGCAGTCAGGTCCCCATTTCCTTGCTGGCTGTTGGCTAAAGGTCCTTCTCAGCTTCTAGAGGCCTCCACATTCCTTGGCACAGGGCCACTTCATCTTCAAAGCCTACAACAGGTTGTCCTTACTTCTCACCTCTCCTGTCAGACCTTTCCTTCTGCTTTCAAGGGCTTGTGCAATTAGATGGGTCCACCTGGGAAATCCAGGATAACTTCCCCATCTTGATGTCCATACCCTTATTCATGTCTGCAAAGTCCCTTTTGGCATGTCAAAAAAACAGAAGTTTTAGATTAGAGCATGGCCTTCTTTGGAGGGCCAGTACTCTGCCTACCACAGCTGGAGAACCAGAGCTGATATATCAGAAAGGTAAAATTTCTATGGCTGTTAATGTATATCTTAATACAAACTGCTTTCCTGGCTTGTCAGACAGGTGAACATCAGTATAGTTTTATTGCACCTTCACCAGCATTAGGTTTTATGACTTTTCTTCCCCCAGTGGCTGCTGATTAACAGTTGAAAATTACCCCTGACCATTTATTTTGCATTTCTTGGGTTACTAGTAGATTGAACATTTTCCCATGTAGTTGTTTCTGTTGTAATTTTGAAGATAAGAACATTGATGGTCATCATTAATTATCACATTTTATTTGCATACCCCCCCCCCGCCCCTGGTATGGGCTGCTGTGGGAGAAGTAAAGACATTATGTGGTGTCCATGTCCTCAGTCAGCTTCAGTCTTGTGGAGAGGAGAGAACCAGTACCCCATGGAAAGTAACTGCATGCTAACTGGATGACGCCCACATGCCTGGGGACCACAGGCTGGCTGAGGGCCCTGGAAATGGGGAAGAGCATCAGCCTGGCTCGTGGTCAGGATACTGTTATGCTGGCCCTTAGCCCTTCCTCCAGGGGGCAGAGTTTGCCCACATCCTCACTGCGTCCTTACCCTTGGTATGAATCTAGGGCCTAGCCAAGAGTGCTGCCCTTCCTACCTGGCCTAGGGCAGGCTGGCAGCCCCGTCCAGCTGGCTTTACTCCAGCCTTGACTTTGCAGGTGGCCTGCTACAGCTGCATATCTGGGCAGTGGTCGTCTGTTTGCCCGCTCCCGGTGGGGCATGGTGAGCCCGGCATTGCTGTGCTGGACAACAGGATCTATGTGCTGGGTGGCCGCTCGCACAACCGTGGCAGCCGCACTGGCTACGTGCACATCTACGATGTGGAGAAGGACTGCTGGGAGGAGGGGCCCCAGCTGGACAACTCCATCTCAGGCCTGGCGGCCTGTGTGCTCACCCTGCCTCGCTCCCTGCTCCTCGAACCGCCCCGAGGGACCCCCGACCGCAGCCAGGCGGACCCGGACTTTGCCTCTGAGGTGATGAGTGTGTCTGACTGGGAGGAGTTCGACAATTCTAGCGAGGACTAGAGATCTGTGACTGGTGTCAGAGGGAAGGGGAAGGTGGCGGGAGCTCAGAGGGCAGCCCTGGCCAGAGCACTTTACCCCAGGGCATTGAGGCCCTTCCTCCTGTCACATACCCATACCCCACTTCACCCCATCTCCCGCTCCCTTCCCTGCTGGCTGGCTCCCACTACCCTTCTTAAACACCAGAACTGTGACTGTGGATCATCCTGCAGAGGGAAGTGCTTGGGAGGGCTCTGGTCCTCTGAAGGGGTTTGCCAAGCCTGCTCCTCAGCTCAGACAGGGTGTGCTGTCACCCGTGGTCTTGGCCTCCCTGCTCCCTGGTTCTGGTCCCTGCTGGGCTGAGAAGGTGCCTTTCTCCAAAGGGACCTGGGACTGGCACCCAGGTGAGGAGGCTGAGGCACAGTGAGCCCCCTTCTTGGGTAGGAAGGGAATGGGGTGAGCCCCTTGCCTACCTACCGAGCAGCCAGGGTCTTGAGTGAATATGAATTCCCAATGGCTGGAGAGGTAGCAGAGATGCACAGAGATGCCTGAGACTGGTTCTAGTGATAAGAAAATCCCCTACAGCTGGGCTTTTCTGACCCCATGTTGTTGATAAATGAAATAAATCATCTTACAAAAGGTGTGAATTTTTCCTGTGGCCATGGCCTCACTTCCTTTCACATCCTGTCCAAGGCTGTAGCTCTGGGAAGCGCGGGGTTCCATTCCAGGGTGAGAGCTGCTGCGGGCACAGCTGTGGTGTGGGAGCCAGGGTCAGAGCTGCTGAGTGGCAGTGGGAGGCCAAGAGCTCACCTCGCAGGGAAGGGCATAGTAGACCCCTAGGCTAGAAGGGCGTCACCTAGAAACCTACCCTAGTCTGATGACAGGTGGCCACCTGACCTGCTCAAGCACCTTTTCTGGTGAGGAGCTCTTCTCTGACCCTTAGCAATCCCTCTGCCCCAAGTAAAGCCCAGCCTGAAGTTCAGGAAAAGAGCCCCATAACCTGGGGAGGTAGGTGCAGTCACAGTAGGTTCCTCTCCACCTCCTGGATCTGAATATGTGGTGGGAGTGGGGGGCCGCATGTCCTACAGGTTTCTCCAGGTGAGTTCTGGATAGGACCTCTCGGGGCTACCAACTTCTCTGCACAGCTGAGCTACCTGCAGACAGTCTGTGACTTCCTAAGACTGCCCTCTTCCAGTTGGCTGGGCAGAACATGGGGACAGCTGGGTCTTCTCTCTGTCCTCTGGTGCTTTGCCTAGAGCCTGCTGCAGCTGGCACCCTGTCATGAATGGGAAGGGAGCACGGGCAGAGTGTGCTACTTGGTGGGATGAAGGGTTAGGGGATGGGCAGGCAATCTGTTGCTCTGGGCTCTCCTTTCTGATACCTTAAGGACTTTGGAGTGTGGCTAGTGGGAGTCACTTTTTACTCCTCGGGGCCGTGCATGTGACCTTTCTCGCCATCTCTTGGGGCCTGGATACTCCTGAGGAAACATGCCTGCACTCCATCACCCCAATGTGACGTTATGCACTTGCACTTCAGGATGGCAATCCCAGTGTTTACCCTGGTGAGTCACTTCCAATGGGACAGGATGGCCACATTCTCCAGTGTCATCTCCCCTACTCCTGAGAGTGAGGTGTGAGAACATGGGCTCAGAGTAGGGACCTAGCACTTCCTGTCTCTCCCACCACCTTGCAGGCCAGAGTACTAGTTCCTGTAGACTCTAGATGTTTCTGGGAAGGAGAATACCAGAAATGTCACACACACACCCCAATCTTCAATGTGTCCCAAGCTCACTGGTACTATCTCCCCATCCAGAGCCACCAAGACACGGCCACAACTTTATGGAAAGACCTCTGGTCTGCACGGTGGGGGAGGGAAGGGTCTATGATACTCCCAGGGCATTGGGTGGGGTAGACAAAGCTGAGAGCTGTGAAGGGATCCTGGGAGGTGGGAAGTAGCCTGGCCCTGCCACTTCAGCCTTGTGGCTGTGCCTCCTACCACCTGCATCTGGGCTCCAGCAGTCCAGGCTCACCAGCTTGGCAGGCTCGCAGGCCCTGCATTCACGCTTTCACTTGGCTTGTTGCTCGTCCCTTTCTTCCTACAAAATCCTTACACTTTGACCTCCAGGAAGCCATCCTGGCCAGAACTGGTCAGCCTGGGCTCTAGGCTCCCAGAATTTGCCTATTTGGTGGCCAGTCATCTGCGGGTGTCTGGGGAACCCACAGCTTCCTCTTCTTGGTATTCACCAGGCATATGGATGATCATTCACTGCACCCATACTTCTCAGTCTCCTGATAGCAGTGTGGTGGTGGCTGGGACAGATATGGGCCCTGCCTTCACTGCCATCGACTGTGAGATGGCTGTGATGGCACACATGCAGGGGACTAGGTTTGAGTGAGATGAGGCCAGGGACAGTCCTTGTCCTGAAGGCAGTGGGGGACAGCCAGATGTGAGATTAGAAAGACTACTCTGGGTGGTATAAAGATGGGGGTGGGTAGAGATCTGAGACATCCAGGAGTGGGGGTGTTGTCCAGGTGGTGCTCTTCACAAGTGGGAATTTGGGGGCAAAGAGGAGTTATGGAGGAAGGGGGAAGGTGATAAAAGAGTTTGATGTGCCTGTTCATGAACTCAGCCTAGCTGGGGTGAGTGTCTCTAGCCCTAGGGTCTGTGCCTTTAAAGCTGGGAGCTGGGCTGCCACAACCGCTGGGCAGACTGCTAGCTTCTCTTGCTGGTAGGCAAGGGGGGACCTTCATGAGAGGGGCCCTGGCACTGGGAAGGCACTGCTGAAGTTAGGGCCATGCCAGGGTGGAACTTCCCAGAAGTGGTTGGCCTGTTTACTTGTCCCCAAGAAGTATTTGCATTCGTGATCACAAGGGTACGACGTCCTCTTCTAGTCTACCAAACTGGTTCCTGCCTCTGGCCTCCTTCCTGTACCCTCCTGTTCTTTTTCATTCCACCCTCTGCCAGCCTGCCCTGGACAGGCCCCTGGCCCAGCCAGCCTGGTGATGCTCATAGCCTTGGGCCTTTCCATGGCCCTCGTTCCAAGCCTCCTCCTCCTCCAGCCCCACCTTCCGCCCTGATGGACCTCCACATAACTGAGGAAGGACACCACCACCACCCCGCCTCCTCAGGGTGGTCTGCATGCAGCCTGCTGCCCAAAAGAAGGCAGGCACCATCTCTGCTCAGGTTCTTCTGCCAACTCTCAAGTCCTCCAAAGACATTGTCATCTTTTCTGAGATCTGGCTACTTGCCTTGTTGCATCCCCAGGCCTTCCCTGCCCCATGGGCCCTGGGGTTGGGTCTGCCCCCACCGCCCAGAGCACTCTGCACTTGTTTCCCAGGGCATTGGGAAACAAGTCTTCTTCCTGGTCTGCCTAGGCCCTGTTCCTCTACAGTTGCTCCCCTCCCCCTTTCCCTGCTGCCCCTGCTGGGCTCTGTGCTGTCACCTTCTCCTCCCAATGCAGGAACTCCCAGTTCTCCATCCCTGACTTCACCTTCTGAACTTGTTCCTCTGGTGATCCAGCGGCCTTTTCAAGTTCAATCCCTCTCCTATGCTCTCCAGACACTTTTCACACCCCTGACAAGGATTGTAAGATCTAGGTCCTGGCCCTCTCCTGTTGCCTCCCTTTGCCTTTACTCCCAAATTCCATGGGAGCCCATGACTGGGCCATTCTCCCTACCCAGCATCTCTCTCCCAGTCCATACCTACCAAGAACCCCTGACTCCCTTCGCTCAGGCCTCTGGTCCAGACCCAGCCACAGGCCTCAAGCATCCTGTCCTGTCCCTGCAGGTTTTAATTGCACTGAGTTCTCGGGAGTAGCAAACCATTCAGCCGGGCACTACAGATCTTCGAGTAGTCGGGGCGGGGATGGGGAGGAGAGGCAGGCCTGCGGCCTTGACTCGGGTTGCCTGCAGGCCCCCCGGCCGGTTCCGAGGCGCTGGGGCCGAGAGGGGCTTTGGTGCGTCGCTCTCTTGTCTCCTACCCGCTTCCCGCCCCCAGCCTGGTCACACAGTGAACGCGCAGGACTTGCATCTCCAGAAGGTGGGTGCCAGGGGAGGAAAAGGAAAGGCGCCGGGACCGGGGAATCCTCAGGCGGGCCCCCGCGGCCCCTCCCTCACCGCACGCTCGGCAGCCTCCTCCAAGTTCGCCCCCAAGTTTGAAAGCGGCCGCGGAGGGGCGGGGGCCGCGCGGAGGGGCGGTGGCAGGAGGGTGGG